TTTGCAGCCTGGTAGGTAGCTAGAAAAACTCTTGAACCGTAAGAGTGCACCAAAATAATAATATAGAATATAATAAATATAAGAATGTTATGTTGACCAATAATGGAAAGCTGTAATGGTGTAATTGTGATTTTAAAGGTTAAAAATGTTGAATAAAAATATTTTTTTTTAAAAAAAGAATGTTATGTTGGAAGATATAATCCCTTGATTTGTGTGCATTAGCACTCTGATTGTAAGAGTTTATTTTCTATGTTAGTAGTTCTAAAGAATTGGAAGTGGATTAATAATTTTATATGGCAATGCCCTTTTAATGCCCTCTGTTGATATCTTTCTTAAATAAGCACCGGGTTCTTTAAAAGATTTCTAAAGGAAAAATAATGAACAGAGTTATCTATGTGCCTAGCTAATGGCTTAGCTGGTGGTTTTATAAATATTATTTTGTTTAATGTTATTCTTTTTTAAAAGCAAAAATGCTAGGGTTAGCATTGTCAACTCCAGTTGGCTATAGGGCCCTATTTGCTGCTTCCCCAATTATGCCCTTTGGTTGTTTATTTGGGAGCTTTAGCCAAAACAGTAGTTTGCTTTAAAGCTTTTTGGAAGAATTGTCATTCTTTAAAACATCAATCCATTGTTCTTTTTAAAAGGGTTGATTTGGCTCTCTGGAGCTCACACATCATTCTAGGTGGTATGGATTGACAGTTGTGTCAGGGAGGAGTAAGCAGGACTCAGAGAACTGAGAAACAAACTATTTGGTAGAAAGGGTTGTCATTTTTGGAGACCAGATTAGCAAAGACAGCTTCACAAAGATGCTACAATCAAGTCATTTTTCCCTGTTCTCATTAACTTCCCTGGGATACAAGTGAGCCAAGAAGTGAAAGCACAAAATGTAGCTGAGAGAGGGAGTGGAATACATATGTGAAAATTCTATTTGAATTTTTTTGGTTTAAGGCTGTGTCTGTACTGTTAAAATAAAGCCATAGTATATAGTCAATATCATTATAAATGGAGAATGGGGGTTGTCTGGAAAATTCCTGCCTTTTCTCCACCCTCTGACAATTGTATAATAATAAAATTTAGGAGAAAGTAAATGAAGAATTGGCTTCTTGTTTTACAGAAGATGTAATTCCAGATCATAAATTTCTGTTCCCCGAGTATGAAATTGTAAGAGAACATGAGGAGTTGGATTCTGCTATTGTCAATGATACAGAGCAGGAAGATTTAGGCAAAAATGAGGACACAACAACAGGTAATCTAGTAAGAAATATGAATGAGTCCATGTTTCAATGCTGTTTTTTAAATGTTTATTTTAAATTGAAGTATATCTTAAAGAATGTATAGATCTGCCCTTCAGCTTCCAAATGACAGAGATTTTTTTCAAAATAAAATTTTTTTTTTACTTTGCTTAAAAGTAGCCTCAGACTCTGGAATTACACTCCAATACAGTTCTGACATATAAGTATGTTGTGTCAGAAATGTGTTGGGAGTGTAATTGCTAAAAACATCTGGTTCATTTTCCTCTCATTTTGACATTGAAAGTAGATACCACTGTAACAGAAGTTGTAAAATGGATTTAGCATTGGTTTTTAAAAAGTACCACCAAATTCTCCTATTCCAGTTCAGATGAAAAGAGGAGAGTCTTGTAACATCAATTAGCAGTCTGGTTCTCCACAACCCAGATCTCATTCTCTCCTTTTTTTTTTGCAAGCTTCGAAGATGGACACAATATTTTTCGTTGTTGATAGAGGTTTTTTTTTAAAAAAATCAAATTGCATGAATACTGACGCATCCCTTAGAGATTGAGCCAAAATCACTTTTTAACAATATTTCAACATTACAACTTAAATACTGTATTTTTTTCCCCAGATGAAGCTTCTGAGTTATTAGAGGACATGTCCTTGGAGATGATGGCAAAACATGAAACTCCGGAAGATAGAATTTTTCAAATATTCAAAGAAAGAATATCTTTGGAACCAGAACAGGTGTTTTAAATGTATTTTTCGTGTCCATTCATGCTTTATACTGATGTATTACTATGGGAATGGGATATGAATAATCCAGCCCAGAATTTTGTCACTTTGAATTAATTTTGTATTTCGTGCTACCAAAATATTTAGATGGAGACTAGCAACAAATTAAATGAAACTTAAAAGAGTTGGATGTTGGAAATTGAGCCATTAGTACCGTTCTGCATGGAAATGCTAGTAAGACAAAGGCCACAACATACTAAATCAATGTAAAACATTAACAAATGTGTGCATACTATGCCTCATCCTTCAGCTATGTCTTAACCAAAAAAGGGAATCATGCAGTCTTGGACTGGTTGTCATTTCCATTTGCCAAAATTGGAATTTGAAACCCAAAAAGGCTGAGCTTCAAAATATGGCTTTTATAGTTAATAGTAGAGGCTCCATATTCACGTCATTGTTAAGCTCTGCACATAGAAGGATAGAATGCAAGATGGTGATGCACTTATTAACCCTTTACAATGGCTTATGGAAACTAGAACAGGTTTGGGGGGAAAACTACCAAGATGATAGTGGAAGAATGCTTCATACAATCCTGCACCTTAAGTAATTACATGGTACATAGAAATCAGCATTTAATACAAGATACTTCTGTCAATTGAAAAAGGGAAGAAGAATTTCTTAGTTCGTATGATATATACTCCTACAAAATCAACATAATTTTATTTTCAATTCTAATTCTTCTTGCATTTCAGGTTATCAGATACTGCAGAAATGGAGAAGGGCCCATCTGGATTTCAGGGTTAAATGTTCCTCAGGACCCAGATATTCCCAACTGTCAATGTGGTAGTAAAAGAGTATTTGAATTCCAGGTATGGACGTTTGGCAGGACTGCACATAAAAGGCCATAAAAGCTGCTTTTTAACACAATTTCTTTGTCTACTTTTATCTTGGATGTTTTAAAAAATTGATAATACAATAATACACTGAGCTTTCTGGTTATAGATTAAAGTGATTTGACCGCTTAGTTTTAAAAGCTTACTTAAAGTATCTTGTCTGTTTAAGGTGATGCCGCAGCTTCTAGCTCACTTAAACGTTGACAGTCTTGGAGAAAGCATTGACTGGGGAACACTGGCTATCTACACATGTGCTGTGAATTGTGATCTAGGAAACCACTACGCTGAAGAGTTCATCTGGAAGCAGGACATTTCCAATTCTGTTTAATTTCTGCAAAGCTTAAACAGTGAGATAATTTTCTTCCGTATCATAATTTTTTCTCACCTTTTATATTCAAGCTGATAACAACGATCGCCATGAGACTACAGAGGTGATCATTTTACTAGAACTTTGAAGTGAAAAAAATCAAATCATGATAGACATGATGTGATACATTCACTATAATAAACAATCAAGTGAGAAATGAATTGTTGTTTCCACTATTTATTTTCCTCCACTCATTCCTGAGACCATTCCCACTGCCACCCTTGGTGAAGGATCTTAAGAGCCTGTCAGAATTTGCTGTAGGTGAATTTGCTCCTGTCCCATAACCATTACCATCAGTTGCATTTTGGGCGAGATCCTCATCGCTTATTTTTCATTGTGCTCATTTTGGATGCTGCCTTAGAATGATATATATCCTGAAGTAGAATGTAAGTACCCTGTTTCCCTGAAAATAACACCCAACCGGAAAATAACCCCTAGCATGATTTTTCAGAATGCTCATAATATAAGCCCTACCCTACTCCAAAAATAAACCCCAGTTAAGATTGTCATCAGACGGAGGCATTTGGTACTGTATTTCCCCCAAAATAAGACCTAACCGGAAAATAAGCCATAATGCGTCTTTTGGAGCAAAAATTAATTTAAGACCGGGTCTTATTTTGGAGGAAACACGGTAATGGTAATATAGTCTGGTTCAAAGGACTAATTACTTTGAAATATAATTTAACAAACCAGGAAAGCTTTGGGAAAACCAGGTATAGAATGAAATTCGAAATATGGAATTCATAGTTTATTCCATTATATAACTATGGAACACTATAGTGAGATCATCCCATCCAAGAACTGATTCTTTAGTTTCTTTGATGAGAAATGGAAATAAAAGATTAGCATCTTTGAAACATACAGGTTAGTAAAAAAGCAAAGCAAGCAATTTTTTAAAATAATATTCTTCAGCATGTTGGTTGGAATATGCTGTTCATATCTGAGAAGACATCCACTCATTCAAGAGTCTAGAATTTTCACATTCATCCTGTTAGAAAAGGTTGTTTTCATTAAGAAATTGGTTGGCTTGTAGTTGACAAGTCATAAAATGAATAGTGGATATTTGTCACTGCGGTGGAAATAAACCAATGGGATGAGTCTTGAAGTGCAAATAGATAGGAAGCTTTACTTTTGAGTTCAAAGTTTCCATGATAATTTGCAATGTAATTCAATAAAAAAAATGAAAATAAGCTGCTATGTATATTTCTGAATACAGTCTGTCCCATCCTTTCATTGGCTGTGGTCTGAAATCACTCATTTATTGAAATTATTGATCAGTTCATACTAAAAATAATGATGGAGGCAAAGTCTTGTCATTTTGGTATTGAATGGCTCAACCTCTCCTTGGCCATTCTAAGAGAAGGAGGGAGGGAAGGGAAGGAAGGTGAAGAGAAATTATATCTGAAATTCACCTACTAGCTTTATAGAGGAGGAGGGATGAGGAAGAAATGTTTTTTTCTTTTGTACTTAAATGTATATAAATCACTCTCCACCCCTACCTAGTAGGAATACAGTAGTGTGGGTGGGATATGTTGACATGATATCTTTAGATATACAGAATTCATGTTCCCTTCTACTACAGCACCTGGTCTGCTTCATGATTTTTTTTTGTTTGTTTTTGATAATGGAAAAAACCAATTGGAAACAAGCTATTTCTATCATTAACCCATTCTTCCTCGTTAATACTGGAGGGAAAAATGTTATACTGTAGCTGTAAGTCCTCTTGGAGATAAGGTCCTGAAACTAAGACACTATTAAGAAACAACACAAAAATAACTGAAATGGCAAAACATTATTTTAATACTGGATTGTTAATAAAAATCTTATAAAAATCAAGTTATTTTAGCTATATGCATGCAGTTAGCACATTAAAACAGCAAAAGCAAAGTTTGACCACAAATTTTACTATTCAAATTATTTAGTCAAGTAATTATACATTTAGAATTGCTTCACAAAATGAGAAATATATACAGCCATCTGTCTTCACTAGCAAAGTTTCTGTCCTGCTGAACACTGGAAATGTAGGGAATGTGGAAGTAGGTCTAAAAGCATAAAATTAACGTTTCTGATTATAAAATCCACGGTTGAAAGAATACTGTAAGTAACCCCAGAGTTTTAAATGTTGGATAATACAGTTTAGCCAGCTTGTCAGCATAAGACTCTCAGATTTTAAAAATTAGCCATTTTAAGAGCCATAAATATAAATAAGCTCAGTTTTTCTTGTGTGAGAACACGGTGAAGCAATGCACAGTAACTTAGTGCAGACGAAACACACAATGATATGTTCCCTTCCCATGAAAAACAGGGAAAGAGGCACTATCTGGGAAAATATTCCAAGTCCTGATGTGTGTGTTACTGCTGTGCCATAATCAATACCTTTAAAAATGTGCTCCGGGTTCATGAATAAGCACATGGAACTGTTACGTCGTTTTTCTGAATCCTTTTAAAATAGGATAAATATTTTCAAATGCTTCATAAATTTCACCTCTGACTTTTGCACCTAAAAAGAAAGAGGAGTATATTTAACCACTACGTTCAGAGATTCTATGGCTACCATTATCATTAGTTTTCTAATTTTCTTAAGAAAGCATTAACAAATTGTATATGTGGAAATTGCTCATAATTCAAACCTGTGCACCAAATTCATAGAGCTTTTGCTCAGCAGGTAGAGCTGGATTCCATAGGAGGACCTTTGGCAGTAACCCATGCCCTCGTCATCACTATCTGGTGATAAAACAATACTTAACATTTATTTTAAACTGGGGCAATATGAACAATTCCTAGGGTGCTAGTTAAAAAGCCCTCTGGAAGGCTTTTTAATCTGCTTAATCTCCGAAGGCCACCAGGTAGTCGAAGTCTATTCCACAAAACAAGCCATAGCAGAAAAGCATTTCCTTCTCAATTCCATGGTAATGTGGAGCTACCAACAATCGGATTCTGTTGAAAGAGGCAGTTCCACAGGCCCTGCAGCACGCAGCCATATAGGACTTCATCAGACAAAACTTGCATTCTAAATTGCACCTGGAAACCTATAGGCAGCCAAGACTGGGCCTGTACACAAGTGTGGTATGTTTACTGCATCCAACACCAATTAGCAAGTGACATGGCTGTATTTTGTACCAAGTGTATTTTCTGAGTGGTCTTTAAAGGCATATTAACACATTTAATTGCTGCAACATGTTAACACTACAGGTCAAATAAAAATATTCAGGTAAAAAAAATAGTATATTATAATAAAGTACAAAAAAGGCACACATGAATTCATTAATATATTTGTATTTGTTAATTAGCTATTTGAAATCTTTGTTGGGTACTTTTCTGTTTGCACAGTAATTTCAAATATGGCTTACCTGTTAAAACTACCTTTCCAGAAACAAATATGAGCAGTACAATTCTTGGTTTGATCATTCTGTAGATTAAACCAGGAAACAATTCTGGTTCGTAACTGAAAGAAAAGTTAAATGTAAGCAAAATGTAAAGCTAATGTAGATTGATCAAAGTATTTGCTCAGAATAGAAATGCGTTTTTTCCTTCTGCCACATGTGGATTAAACTGGGATGATATTATGTCATGTCTTACGTACCCCAGGGTCTATCTGTACTTTTTCATTATTAGTGCTAATTTCTCAATACAAAACTTTCAGGCAAAAATATACTAAGCTGCACATAAGAATTATTGAACTATTTCCAATTCTATACTGTGTGAAATTCAGTTTTCACTTTTAGAGTTGCTCAAGTAGCAATGTATCTCATCTACTTTCCATTACTACTCTTAAGGATTTAAATTACACTAATACATATTACACCAACACATATCAACAGATGATCAATTTTTTGTTCAAATAAAAAAGCTTTTTTGTTTCAGTATTGAAGAATTGAGCACAGAATGTTATACAAATTTAAAATTGTTTGAAATTATCTATACATCAAAGATATATCAGAATTGCCTATGGCTGCCCCTCTTTTACATTCAAAGAAGTACATAAATGACCCAAAACAACTATAAGACATTTTAAATAAAACTGAGAAACATAAAGGAAAATATTTTCAATATGCATTTAAGATAACAGAATTTTTTGGCCTACCTGCTAAACTGTTGATGCGTAAGAACCAATCCCTCAAGTCTGATAGGGAATTTTACATCACAACTGCCAACCATATTTTGAATTTTAAAATCCAAGAATTTTGCAGGAAAGCCCAACTTCTGTACAACTCTAGCGTACTTTCTTGCAGCCAGCCTAGACTGCTCTTCACTGAAAAAATATAAGATGCATTGTATTTCATCAAGGAAACTCTGAATGATATACATAGAGTTTGTAAATTACATACCTATTAGCTGGTTTTTAACAGATTACCTGTGTCAAATGGCCATATCTGTTGGGCCAAATGCTAATAAGTTAAATGCTGCAGACAATTGCTTCGGCTTGCATACCTTTTAGCTCCTGTGCACACCATTTTTCCAGAGCTGAATATGAGAGCTGTGGTACGTGGCTCTCTAATTCTCATAATTACAGCAGCAAAACGCTGAAACACAAAGAACAAACATTTTTATAACTAAGGTACAACAACAAAACTCCCTAAACGTACATTAATTAGTAAACTGAAGTTGCATTAATCTCCATTCTTCACTTCAAAAAAATATAAAAACATCTACAGTTACAAATACAGTACAATGTAATACAATGAATATATTAATTCCTTTTGTTTGTTTATGGAGAACACATTTCTCAAACTTGATAGCCAAAACATTGCTGTTAAGTTTGGTTTGAATTCAAGTAGAATAGATAGTACTTTTTCATCAAATTAATTCTGGAAGAGGCTGCTTTAGGAATGCTTAAATGAAAACAATTACTTATTGTTTTCATGTAATATTCCATTACTTTGTAAAATTTTTGTTTAATTGCAAAGCTTTGCCCTTGTTTCTATGCCTTCTTTTACAAGAGGGTTAACAAGGTCGTCTTTCCACAATTACTACCAAAAGGGAAAGTCACAATGTAGGTTGCTTGGCATGAGGTATGAACCCAGCGAGCTTTGTAAACCATTCTTGATGGCCAACTAGAAATGGGATTTAGTACTTCTGTCAAATTTTACCTTCTATTTTACCAAAACTACTGTATATCACAACAAATGCTTATATATTTTGTAAAGTTTTTAGTATAAAATGGTTTGACACAACATGAATGCACAGAGGCATTGTTCTTTAAGGTTACTATTGCAGCCCCAAAGATCTTTTTCTTGGTTACATTTAAAAAGCATACTCAGAAATCTCCTTTGCAAGCAAGTCACGTAAGCTATCAGAAGCAAAAATAGCAAACAATCATCATTGATTAATGTAACATTAATTGTCACCTCTCCATTATATCTTACCTTGGGATTGTATTCAGCATTTCGAGCACGAAGGGCAATGGTTTTGAGGTCAAGTTTGCAACCAAGATTTACTGTAGACACAATATTCCTGGAGAGAATTTAAGAGATATATTAGGTAATCTTAAAAGCTTCAAATAAAGACACTCTACAAAAACTGATTACAAGAGTAACCATGTGAGCACTAGTTACAAGCCACAATACCAGTAAAAATCTAAACTTAAAAATCCTCAGAGACATCAAAGAAAGTATTTTTAAATCCAAGTTAATGCACTGACATTCTGAATAAATGCCTCCAAGGTACCTGTTTTCAAAGGCCTTGTCAAGCATTCAACACAGCAACATATGCAATTGAAGCATAGCCACTTGGCAGCATGAACTCAAAAATGCAGCTTGCCAACCTTGCTCTAATCCTTGAGTTACGACCACAATTGAGCAGAACATTTATGTTGCTAAGTGAAACATTTGTTAAGTGAGTTTGTCCCATTTTACAACTTCTTTTTCGCCACAGTTGTTAAGTGAATGGTTGCATTTGTTTAGTTAGTCATACAGTTGTTAAATGAATCTGGATTCCCCATTGACTCTGCTGGTCAGAAGGTTGCAAAAAGGAGATCATGTGACCTTGGGACACAGCAACGGTCATAAATATGAATCAGTTGCCAAGCATCTGAATTTTGGTCACATGGTCATGGGGATGCTGCGACAGCCGTAACATTCATAAGTCACTTTTTTTGCTGTCACTGTAACTTTGAAAGGTCACTAAATGAACTGCTGTTAAGTCGAGGACTACCTGTACAGGATTAAGAGCCTCTGTGGTACAGCAGACTAAGTGCTGTTAAGTGCTAGCACTTAGCTGCCAGCTGCCTGCAATTAGTGCGAGTTCAAATCTCACCAGGCTCAAGGTTGACTCAACCTTCCATCCTTTTGAGGTAGGTAAATTGAGGACCTGGATTGTGGGGGCGATAAGCCAGCTTTGTATAGAACAACACCGCTTAGGGGGGCCGAAAGCCCTAATAAGCAGGTATATACATAAAAGAATGCAGGCTATTGCTATAATACATTGTAAGCCGTCCTGAGTCTACGGAGAAGGGCGGCATATAAATTGGACTAATAAATAATAAATAAAATAAATTTGTGAGCAGAGTGGAATCTGCACTTACTGCAGCTGCGGTACAATCCCAGAGCTTTCGGAAGCAGGGGTGGCAGGCGTTATGGGGGTCATGGGAGTCATGGGAGAGGTGTAGAGAGGTGTGGTTCCTGGTAAAGGAGCCGTTGTAAGAGTCTGTGAGTGGAAGAGCTGTGGGGTTTGACCAGATGCTGCTTGTGTTGGTTGTGAAGTGGACTGCTGTGCTGCTGCTTGTTGCTGCTGCTGCCTCTGTTGTTCTTCCAGAATAGATAAACTGTTGGTACTCTGAGCAGGTTGAGGTGTGAGCCCAGTGCCATAGGGCATCATAGGACTAAAAATAGGGATGCCTGGAGTCATTGCACTCTACAAAATGAATAGAGTTTTTAAAAGTTAAAGTTGCAATATATATGAGCTATCATGAACAAGATTAGGAATGCATTGAATTATTTAAAGAATGGCTGCTGTATTCTGGATATCATAGCAATAGCAATAAGACTTATATACTGCCTCATGGTGCTTTACAGCCCTCTCTAAGCAGTTTTCAGTCACCATATTGCCCAATAATCTAGGTTGTCATCTTACCAACCTTGGAAGGATGGAAGGCTGAGTCAACCTTGAGCCGGTGAGGATTGAACTGCTGGCAGTGGGCACAATTAGCCTGCAATATTGCATTCTAACCATTGCGCCATCATGGCTCATAGAACACAACTGAAATACAATGCACATTTATCCTGGAAGCAAGTTTAATTGCAGAGCAATTTGCTTCTGAATAACCATGCAACGGATTTTGTTCAAGATATAATACAACATAGATGTATATTCACCAAGCTGCTTTTGCAACCATATTTTAATTTTGGAACCTACTGGTTAATAAATTCGTTTTCAATTCAATATTGAAACAATCAAAATTTGATTTTACCAGATATGCTTTAGCTAATCCTCAGTGTCTTTATCCAATAATTTATTGGGTTCGTGAAAATGGATGGTTTTGCTGCCAAATTAAGTAGCACAATTTAAAAGTATTCTAGTGGGCCACAAAAATTAAACGGTGAAAAGGATTTTCAGGGAAGAAATGAACTGAAGAACAGGTCTAGAAAAAGTGGATCTCACAACTGCAGTGAAATGAAGAGCTAGTGAGCAAACTGGCTCTATGATAATTCTGCTCCAGACAAGGAGAGGATATGAGATTGCCCAAGTGCTTCAGACAGCAACTCCTTGCAAGGAAACCCCAAGACAGCAGTCTCCATCAGATTTACAGCTCTGGGAGATGAAAGAACAGCCATCTGGTTCAAACTATAGTCAGCACCTTTCAAAAGACAGTATGTTCACATACTTTCTTTCTAATTTCTTTTGGAAATTGTTAACTCTTTTGCAGCTATTAGGGACCCTTGCCTCCACAAGTTTTAGAGCACCAAAATGATTTTCCTTCCATCCTTAGCAAAAGAAGCTTTAACTGCAAGTTTTGGAACTTTTTGTTTTGCAGGGGAGGGAGAGCAAAAAGATGATTAAAATGTTGATCTTAAAAAGTTACAAATGGACTAAGACTTCAGATAAAAAATTCATTCTGGAATCAATTTATAAAGAATTTCCCACATTTTCTGTGGAAAAATGCTTCTGTTTTGATGTCTTTTTTTAGAAAAAACATAAAACTTTAAAACTTGGATACTAGAGGGAACTAAAGATTACAATTAGAGAACACTCATTTTACAGAATGAAGCAAAATATAGATTTTAGGGGATTCAGACTATATGGAAAGGGGGATTATATAATTGTGTGATTAGGTATTTTGGGTATTTGTTATTGGATCTCTGTTGACTGAATAAGGAGGGCTGAAGATTTAGAGAAGATAGAAAAGGGCTTGTGGTATGGAATGAAGATGTATTTGATTATATTGTAACAGACAAGTGATAAGCTGTTAATGCTAATAATACTTGCCGGTGATGAAGGGGAAAGTTTCCTTTTTTTTCTTTTTACTACTGTTTAGGTTTTTTGGGAGGTTCTCTCACTTTTTTCTTTTTTAATGTACATTTGTATTAGACTTTTGAATTAGCTTTATTTGATTAAAATAATCTTTAATAAAAACTATTAGAAAAAATACAAAAAATAAAGGAGGAGAAAATGCTTTCTGTTCTGGTTTTAAGGCTTTCTAACCTTAAAATAGAGGGACAAAATCAAGAAATATGTCCGTATATCTCAAGCAGATAAACCTGAGGAATTAGTCTGTCAAGCAATTACTGTTCTGTTCATGCCAGGAGTTTCAATAGTGAAAAGTGTATAACAATAAATGGTTCTTACTGCCTTAATATCCATCACTGATCCCATTGAAAAGATAGAGATAAGAATTAACCAAAACTTGCCTTAACCTGCAGAGGCTGGCATAGCAAGTAGCAACCAATCTAGTATTGAGGTACAGATGTTATAAACACGACTGTTTTAAAATTCAAGGAAAAGAAACAGCAAAGGAAGGTAAAAAATATGGAATCCACAACCCATCCAACATTGCAGGTCTCTAAAAACTGTTTTGAAAGCTTTGTTTTTCAAAAAGTTCATTAGTTTGATATATTTTTACCTGTGGGGATGCTAAACCCTGAGCATAGGGTGGCAAACTGTTGTTTTGATCCATTGCAGCAATCGGGTGTCCAATCAAATGAGGACTACTTCCAGAAATTAAATCCAGAAATCAAGCTTCACAACATCTACCTTAAGGAAGTAGCTTTCTTTAAAGCATACCAAAAACTAGTTTGCAGTCTGTATTGACATATTTGATAAAACATCAAGTATATAAAATAAAGATTCCAGACCTGAAAAAGAGAAAAAGTCACACATTACTGTGTTCAGGTAAAATTCATGACATATATTACTGCTGTGTTGCAGTAACTATTTTCCACAGATTTTCCACTATTTTCAGGTTTGCTGTTTCCAGCACCACAGGCATTGGATTCAGAAATTAATTACATATAAATATAGTTAAATAACAAAATGTCAATTAAAAATCTGCATGATAAATCTTACCTTTGAAGCTTTCACTTAAATAAACAATGTATTAGTGCAATATAAATTTAAAATTATAGCAAAAAGTACATAAAGAGAGTTTGTGGCAAGCTTTTTCCACAGAAAATGGGCAAAAAAAGAAATTACATTACCCACTTGACTCAACTTTGAAAACAAAGCATATTATACACATAAAAAAAACATTTAACTTTTAGTTTCTTTTTCCTGCCTCAGGAGTGCCCTGAATTAAGGAACAATTTAGTTACATTTTGGAAGCATAACAAGCAACAGCAAATCAGCTTGTCACAGCTTGTTACTTTTATATTCCATTGTAACTATTAAAGAAGAACAAACCAAACAAAATAACCTAAAAATAGATGAGGTAATAAAAGAAAAAACAAAACTTACTGAGTAAATTAAAAATACTTAAATTAGTTCTGTCCTATTTTTTATTACACACAAGAAAGTCATCCACCTTCTCTTGAGGCAAATTTCTAGACAGAAAGGATTTTGCCTAGTCCTTTCACTTATATCCCTGCATACATCAAATTCCTTTGCATACATTTAGCTAGAAAATGCCTCAGAAAAATCAGAATAGTTACACCTTATTTTAAAAGAAACATTTGCATTCAAATGGATATTTGCATTCAAATGGATATGGTCCTGAGCAAGAATATAAGGCAAGTTTCCTCATTAAGAAGAAGAAATCTTATCAAGGAGAGGTAAACATATCCAAAGCCAGGTAAAACAAAATATTGTTCATTTTTACCCTGTGCCAGCAATTTAATAGCAGTGATTCTCGAACCGTGTTTCATGGAGGTGGCCTGTTGCAACCTTCCTCCATTCACCAGCCTGCGTATTGCCTCAAATTGTTGCCTCAGCTTATTGCCTGCCAAGCCAGAGTAGGTTCATCACCTCAGCTCCCACCTCCTCATGGTTCAGGACTAGTCAATGGCTTACAAAAATGGATTAGTGGCTAAAAACTGGTTTAATGAAACATACAAGAGACACTATTCACACTACTAATATTTGGAAAACTTATTATAGTAAAAAGGTCTCAAGCACAGTTCCTGACAATGAGTCAACATGTGCTGTGTTAAGTGGCACTATGATTTTGCACAAGCAGCTCCAAAAGAAAAGTACAAATAGGAAATAGGATGATAAATATCTAAAAAAGGGGGTTCATTGGAATGGGAACCTAGTCGTTCCTCCATTATGCAACTATACTTATTTCTTCCCAGATATGTTTTATGCTTTTAAAGACAAAAATGTAGAGAGAGGGTTTGTTTTATCGGATAATTTTCAATTACAAAAAAATTAAGAAACACTGGCTCATAAGTTAACGCCTATTTACTCCAAATAATTGATAAGAGCCTAAATGCAAAGGTTGAGTAAAACAAGATATCAAAATATTCTTAGCAGTAACTGTTTCAAGACATGTTGTTCTGGCCTCAAAAGGTCTGCTTTGGTGTTCGATCACTCCCAGAACACACTGATCCACTGGTGATCTGAAGGATGTATTTTTTTTGCTATTGCTGAATTACCCAAGAGTGATTCAGTCCAGAAAGAAGAAATAAATATAGCAGCAAAAAGGGCAAATGAATATTGAGCATGGTGTCCACTTGGGTTGCATTAAGTGAAGAGGAATTGTCATGGGCCACATGTAAAACATACAATTAATGTATATAAATAACATAATGTGAAAAGTTTATGACTTTGTGGAGCCACCTTACTAACTGTCTAGGGCCACATGCAGCCCATGGGCCATAGGTTGGACAGGCCTGATATTGAGGGTGCATTTATAGAAATATAGTAACCAACTAGAAGTATGTGTTCTACATACTTTATTCTGCACGAGGTAACCTCCACTTTGAGTTTATGTGACCCATACTGGACAGCACACTTAAAGAATGATTTAGACTGATTAAAATTGGTTTACAGAAGCATAATAAGGATGATTCAAGGCTAGAATTAAGACTAATAAAGAGAGATTGAACGAGCTATAAGGATATAAAACAATGAAATACTACTCTTCAAAAACCTGAAAGTACACTACAGAGAAGAAAGTTAAGACTTATAGTCCAGAGTACTGCACATAGAATAACAGATTTAAGTTATAGGAAGACTGATTTTTGACTTACAAAATCTTCCTAACAGTAAGAACAGTTCAACTAGAAAACTGACCGCCAGAGAAACTGCTGATTCTCTTCACTAAATGTGTTTTAAGATGAGCCTACATAACCAATAATTGGAGATTATTAAATTTGAATTCCTGCACAAATCATGAATTGGCTTATGTGGATCCATCCTACTCTTAAGATTCTAACACCTTTAATAAACAAGAATCAATTAACCAGGGTTTTGGATTACTGTACATGGTTGAATTAAATAAATCATCTGTATGTCATTCTTAGCTAGTATTCAGAAGAATTCTAGCTTACCATGACTAGTTCAGTCAGTCTCTTTGTGGTACTCCTTTTAGCAGGTGATAAAGAATCCATGAAATCTCCTTTCATTGTATATTTAGCACAAATGGAAAAGAGGATCCTTGTCACTTTCTCCCACCAAGAACAAGTTATAAAAAAATCAAGAACATGGTTATCAAATTCTAATTTGTTACAAAAGTAGCACAAGACTTTTCTATTTGTACACACTAAATAAACCACAAATCCTGTACTTTGTTTAGTCATCCCACTAGAGAAGCCAAGTTACACTAATGGTCATTCCCACTACTAGGAGGAGTCATTTATTTTAAGAATTATGATTTAACAGTGCAGTAGTGAAAATGAAAAATAAAATTTAATGCTTATTCAATTGGACACATAACTTCAATAATCTAAAGTTATCTAGCTTAAAACATAAATCAATACTTAAGAAATTCTCTTTCCATAAGAATTTTTACCTGCAAAAATTGTAACCAAAATAGATAAGATCTAAATATTCTACCTGTCAAAAGTGAACAAGGTGTGACAGCATTCCAATAAAAGCCTTGGTAGTACAGTGGTCTAAAGCACCCTGTTATTAAGACCAGCTGCCTGGAATTACTGCAGGTTCGAATCTCGCCAGGCTCAAGGTTGACTCAGCCTTCCATCCTTTCTAAGGTAGGTAAATTGAGGACCCAGTTGTGGGGGCAATAAGCTGACTTTGTATAAATATACAAAAGGATGAAGGCTATTGCTTAGCGCATTGTAAGCCGCCCTGAGTCTCCGGAGAAGGGCGGCATATAAATCAAATTTAAAAAAAAATGCTATTGGAATATAGCAAATTCCAATTTGCTATTGGAATATAGCAAATGTTCCAATAAAGGAGAATATTTGTAGCTTAGGCTTGAAATGAGGGGTCCTTGGTGTCCTCTAAGCTTGTTTTCTTGCAGAAGTTTCATTACTCAAACTAAACATCAGTAATAGTAAGAACTAGAGTTTGCTCTCAGTTTAGTGGCATGCCCTGTTGGTAGGAATGGTCTTGGAGGTTCTTTAGTTGGAATTTTTACTGTTATCTTGTTTGGCAGTTCCTTGATTGGGGCATTTACTTCTTGATTGTTGGTCTGATGGTAATCTTGGTGTTAATCTATGCTCATCAGAGTGATGATTGATGGTGAGGAGGTGTTTGGATTTTTTGTTCCCTTTTTGGCTTGTTGACTGTCTCTTTTGCACACATGTAGATGTTGTTTACATATATTGATGGCCAATTTGTTAGTGTGCCAGGCTTCTAAGAATTCTTTAGCATTTTTGGACTTGGCTTGCTCTAGGATGGTCAGTTTCCCTGTTGAAACTATGACAATAAATCTTAACCAATCACAAGGAAAAAAGACCAAAATACCTCCCTAAAGGGCTCAATCAAAGACCCTCCAAGACCACTCCCACCAACACAGAAAGGGCAAGCACTGATGATGTTACTAGTTTGGATAATGAGACCTCTGCAAGAAATCAACCAAGCTCAGAAAAAAACAAAGACCCCTCAGCAAAATATTCTAAATTCAAAAGGACATTTCCTGTTTTGTGGTTAATGTATAGTTTTGTGTCTATAAGCAACATTAACCATAGAATTTATACATGCAGAGGACTGAACTATAAACAAGAATAGTTACACTTTGGTTACATTTTATCAATATTTGGAGGAATGTATGTACTGGTATTAATATTTAAACTAATATGTCAGTAGTATAAATGGGATTAAGAAATCTCATCTATTTCTCCTGGTTTTATCAACACAAATAAAATCAGAGCAAATATTAAACTGCCACAATTAAGTCTACAGTTCCTCTACATTTAAAACATATAAATTTATTCTCTAATTCTCAGTTTCATGAGAAAACAAAGTATGACTATGCTCATTGGGGATAACTAACCCTTTCATTTTCCACAGAATCTCTACATTGTGACCATTTCTCTGCAGTGATTTCTAAAATACTGTAAGAGGATAAGAAGAATGTCTCTAATGTATAGCAGATTGCAGAAGTGGATAAGAGATCACAACAGAAGTGGTATAAGATTTTTCTTTCCTCCCCATTACAAATAGGTGGCCACCACAGACAAATCCTATCATGAATATAATAAGCTTGAGTGGGGGGTATGATGCCTATAAATACCACTACACCTTTGAAGTGCATTTAAGGGAAAATTGCAAATGGGTGAGTCTCAAGTAGATTTGTCTGATACACTGAACTTCAAAAATCCCTTTACTATTACTACATTTAAAACAACAATGTAAAAACATTACCTGATTTTTTTGTTAGGTCGATCCATTTACATTTAAGTACCTGAACTAGTATAGAGCCACTGAAAACAAGTTCATGGCTACTTGGGGCCATTAAGGGAAGAATTTTTGAACAATATTCCATTGTTCCACTTAACAGAAATTTTCCCAAAGGTAGCAGGACTGTCTCACCAGGTTTTGAATAAGCCGAATTACATACGTCGCCACCTAAATATGGGGTGACTTTGCATAAGGGCAAAGTCTAAAAACTGCAAAACCATGCCATTCTTAAGAGGCCAGGCCATAGATCCGCGTTAGCCAAAGCCATCTTCAACCATCTCGGAGAGAGCTGAAAACCCATTCAAATGACCCCTGGAATGAATTTCAGAGGCACGCACGCATGCATGCATTCATACCTACTCTACTACCTCCTCTTTGTTCAGCCCAGGGATAATATTCTTTCAACGGGCGAGCAATTCTTGCAAATTAGCCCTATGGGACGGAGTTTTCAGAGGCTAACCCCGTGCCCAGGGATGGGTCCGTGTGAATACACAACAGCTATCCGAGGAGTTACAGGGAACATCAATTGCATTGACTCTTCAAGGTTGGCACCTTGGCAGAGGGGGGGGGGGAAGGAGGGGGGAGGGAGGAAGGGAAAAAAAAGAAAGAAACCAAAGCTCCTCTTCCTGAGTTTTCCCATTGAAGCGTCGCAGCGACTCAACCCCCCCAAGCAACACTCAACGGACACGCTGACTCCACGTCCCGAAGTAACCGGGAGTGGGGTGCATAAGGGTTTGCATTGCAACCGTTTTTGGCCCAGACCTCCTCCGCTTTTGTGAAGCGCCCTAAATAAGACCCTCTCTCGGGGCCCGAGGCCGGCAGACTGGTGTCCCCCCCCCGCCAGAAATAAAGGCGCAGCGCTGCCGGGCCCGGCGACTTACCCGCTCCAGAAGTTCTCCCGACCTGAGCCGTGCCCCCGCGCTCGTCTCATCCGGCGGCGCGCCTCTTTTGCGTCATCAATATACCAGTCGCGGATAACCTTCACGAGCCGTTACTGCGGGCGCCACATTTCTTAAGGGCGGCAGAGAGGGCGTCAAAGCCGCCTTCCGAAAGTTGTCCCTGGAAGAAGTCGCCCGCAGCGCCGCGTCCTCCCGCCCCAGCCAATGCATGGGCCTAATGGGAATGATTCATGGATTCATGCAAGGGAGTTTTGGAGGCATCGGTTTAAGAAAAATAGTTTTCCTTAAAAGCTTTCCTTCTTTAGTGGATTCTGTAATTTTTAAATGTGGGTAAAACTATTAGGGAAGACGTCCAAGTTAATTAAATAGCATCTAAACTAAAAGAGGGCATCTTGGGGCGTCAGCGTGCAATATGACCCTGAAATCTCCATCCATGCATACTTGTGGCAAATTTCTTACCAACTTGAGGTGAGAAATGGAAGTGTAGGAAGTTAGCACCCACCTCTTTCCTAGTGGGATGAAATATTTTGGGAAATATTGCAAAGGCAGAGTATGTTTCCCTGGATGAGAAATGGAGAAACGTGTTTTGAAGACAGAGCAGCTCCCACCTTCCTGCTCCCCCCCCTTTTGTCAATGGGCCAGAGGCAGAAACCCAATCTTTGTCAATGGACCATCATCTGCAACACAATAGGACCCATCTAGCACAGAAACTAACACAATAGGACCCATCTACCAACAGAAACTCACCACATGGCACCTGGGAAGATTACATCAGCCAGCACTGCTAGCTAAGACCCCCACCCCTTGGGAGTCTGACAACCAATCAGGATACTCTTTCTGGGCCCCAGGAAGTTCAAAACCAGAGAGGGCATAAAACCCGGGGACGGACTCGCAGCATCTCGCCCTTTTCTGTTCAGGAACTCAAGCCATGTGATCCTGTCCACCATTAAACCATCTTTCCAAGCAGTCTCCATGTTTCCAGTGTCTTTTTCTCTACTTGGAGCTGAACCCAGAAGGATATTTCTTCCTACAGAAGTTAGGACTAACTTTATATAGGAGTGTTGGAGAAGTTCCCCAATGTTTCTAAAAAGTAAACATTTTTGAGACAACCCTCTTCTCCCCAGCTCATACTGTGTGCCCCTATGTATCAATGGGAAGTGTTGCCCCAGCTTCCCCAAGCTATTAAAAGGTAAACATGGGGGGGGGGGGATAACAGATCCATCCCTCGAGTTTCTAAACGCCACTTGACTGTCCAGGTGCAACAAGGTTGCTAAAACGCAGAGTTGAAGGGATCAATGCGCCTTGGTAGTACAGGGGTTTAAGGCACCCTGTTATTAAGCTGGTTATTAAGACCAGCTGCCTGCAATTACTGCAGGGTTCGAATCTCGCCAAGGCTCAAGGTTGACTCAGCCTTCCATCCTTTCTAAGGTAGGTAAATTGAGGACCCAGTTGTGGGGGCAATAAGCTGACTTTGTATAAATATACAAAAGGATGAAGGCTATTGCTGAGCACATTGTAAGCCGCCCTGAGTCTTCGGAGAAGGGCGGCATATAAATCAAATTAAAAAAAAAAAAAAAATGGAGGAGAGCACAAAATATGAAAAGATCCCCGGGGACAGGCAGGTAGAATTGCTCCTCTCTCTGCAAGTAATATTCGATTTACAACAGTTCATTTAGTGACCATACCTTTGTTACATCAGCATTGAAAAATGTGACTCGGGATCATTTTTCATAGTTACAATCTTTGCAGCATCCCCATGATCATGCGACCAAATTTCAGGTGCTTGGCAACTGGTTATATTTATGACGGTTGCAGCATCCAAGGGTAATCTGATCACCTTTTGGGACCTTCTGACAAGCAAAATCAATGGAAGCCAGATTCGCTTAACAGCTGGGTTACTAATTTATGAACTGTAATGATTCACTTAAGTGTGGCAAGAAAATGGGGCAAAACCCACTTAACAAATGTCTCACTTACCAACAGAAATTTTGGGCTCAATTGTGGTGGTAAGTTGATGACTACCTGTAGTCCTTACTCAGGCAGGCTGGCTTTCAATGTTGAGAAAAGCTATGATGTGACTTAGTTCTGCCCATTGTATGAATTTTCTATCAGCAATTCCCGGGTTCTAATTTCAGAATGCAGATTTCAAAAATCTCTAGAAAGAGTAATGAATCAGTTGAAGTCTGCACATATACCAGCAGTTGAATTTTTGCCGGGATAATTTCCATTTTTTGATCATTTTGTTCCAATGGCTCACCACAGGCTTTAAGGAATGCCTTAGAAAATAGTACAATAGGGTTGGAAGGGATTCTTGGAGATCTTCTAGTCCAGCCCTCTGATCCCCATCCTGGAGGGCTATGGCATCGTTTTTAATTCACAAGCCAACAATTGCTGGAAAGACTGGAAGTGCATGCTCTTCCTTTTCCAAAAATACTCTCTTTTCTAATTATGCCCAATTCAATGTTTACCCTGGCTGACGCCGTCCTGCCTAAACCTTAATCCTCACAGCAAGATCTCCAGAGATTATCTGTTGCCCAAAGCGTTCACACCACCAGCCGACCACGCTTTAGCCACAACGTTATGCAAACCCAACTTTCACTTTCTGTTGCCTGTTGTTAACAAGTTCCGCGACTCGGACGAACAACCTGAGCTTTTTTCATATCCCGCCTCGTCAGAGGGGGCGCTGTGACGAGTCAGGGCGATCGGCGTCGGGGGTGGCGACATTAGCCGCTTCCGCTTCCGCTCCCACCATCTTGCCGTGAGACAGCAGCAAGCGGGGAAACCGGTGGATTTGGAGCAACGATGCTGTCGGCCGCTACTTACGCTGAACCTGTGTTCGGGTTGCCCAGGGAGGTTGGACAGAGCTCTGCGGCGCAACGTCGCTTCTCTCCGTATACTTTCAATGGCGGGTATGTCCTTCATTTGTTGCGCGCCGGTGCTTTTCTTTGGATACTTCCTGTCCCTTTAAGATCGATTCTGCCTTTGGACCAGGGATCTCGAACCTTGGCAACTTTAAGCCTGGAGGACTTCAACTCCCAGAATTCCCCAGCCAGCTTTGCTGGCTGGGGAATTCTGGGAGTTGAAGTCCTCCAGGCTTAAAGTTGCCAAGGTTGGAGACTCCTGCTTTGGACAAAGCATTCTCCCCCCCCAGTGGTTTTACTTTCTTTTTCTCATCTCCCTGCGAAGTAGTAAAACAACAGTAATAGTGTTTTTTTCCTCAAACTCCTGTTTCTTTCATAACTTAAAAACTCGTCTATAAACCCCTGAAAAGGCTTCCCTGTGGCTTCTAACTAAATGGATACAAAGGGTGGTTAAAAACTCAACAAGACCATTAGAGCCACAAAGGCTTTTTACCTTGACGTTAGAAGTAGCAGCAGAGCATAACAAGGTGGGGTTTAGTGGTGCATTAAATGTAAGGATTCTTCCAAAGGTGACCCAGCATTTTAAGCGAGGCTGAATTACCAGTAGCAACTGGTTGGAATTATCTTGTGCCAGGGCTATAATTCAAGATTGATTTTCTAAAGCCAGCATAATTTTTTTGCTTTCTTGATTTACAAATTCCTAAATAGTTATCTCTCTCCAAGAGAAGCTTCTTTGGGCACAAATATTAATGCATGAAGTAAGAGTGTAGGGTGGTTTTTGCCCTTTTGGAAACCATTGCCTCATAATTTAATTTAATTAATTAAATTTATATGCTGCCCCTCTCCGAAGACTCAGGGCGGTTCACAATACATTTAAAAAATCATTATAAAAAGACATTGAAAAATTAAAAATTGTTCATAGTTTTATTTGCAGAAGAAATTTTGTCCTGCTTCAGATTCCACCTTCAATTTTCTTATATGCTACTTCTTGTTCCTTATCCAGCTTACTTAGGGAACCCCAAATCTTTAAATATTACACATACGTTTTAAAAGAAAGGCAAGAGTTTTCCTTAAAAGCTTTCCTTGTTAGTGGATTCTGTAATTTTTAATATGGATAAAAATATTAGGGAAAATGTCCAAGTTAATTAAATAGCATCTAAACTACAAGAGGGCATCTTGGAGCATCAGTATGCAATGTGACCCTGAAATCTCTCATCCATGCATACTTGTGGCAGATTGGAAGAACAGTTTCTTACCAACTTGAGGTAAGAAATAGACACTTAGGACTAACTTTATATAGGAGTGTTGGAGAAGTTCCCCAATGTTTCTAAAAAGTAAACGTTTTTGAGACAACCCTCTTCTCCCCAGCTCATACTGTGTGCCCCTATGTATCATCAATGAGAAGTATTGCCCCAGCTTCCCAAGCTATTGAACCCTGACTGAAGCCACAGATTTTTTTTCATGTTATGGATATGAGCCACTGAATATAATCCTCTTATGTTTTTGAAAAAAGGAAAAATGCACAGCTAAAGCTAAAATGCTCAAATTTCAAGATTTCAGACTAAATTTAAATGAATGAAAGCTAAATAATTACCAAAAAAATAATTATTTTCTTTTGCTTAGGACCATATTGGCAATTGCTGGTGAAGACTTTGTTGTTGTCGCCTCAGATACTCGACTGAGTGAAGACTATGCAATTCATAGCCGAGAGAGCCCTAAATGTTATAAACTGTAAGTTTAAAGTGGTATATATTTTTGAGTTTGATCCAGACTTAGTCA